ATTAAAAAACCACTTTGGTTCTTCCCCCCCCCCCCCCAGGCCAGCTGCTTTGACTACCTTGTTTCTGTCCCACTGTTTTCAGAGCTGCAAAACTGTAGTCTCTTGTAGGCCCTACAAGGCTGCTGCACTCCTTCCTTCCTCCACTCTAAAGCTGCCTATCTGCCCCTAGCCTTTCCAGTGGATAAGATTCCCTCCCAGCCTTACTGTGATAAAGCCCTGGCACCAGGCACAGAGGTTCTAGCCAGGCTAAGCCCCTGACCTGCTGTGCTATTTGGATGACGAACCACTAAGCCGCACGGTCCACTTCCATTTCCCTTTCTCATTCCCAGGAATGGCTTCCTCATATTCTCTCCCCTTTGGGAAACCTCTGGCTTCTACACCTATATTTGCCCTACTCAAATGTCTAATATCCAGTAACAGTAAGAGCGATCCATGAAGTAAAAAGCGATTCCCAAGCTCTCTTTTCTCAAAGTCCTGCCGGGTTCTCTCTGCCTGCTATCCCACTAAATAAAATACTCTCTGGTTTCTTTTTACACTCTCAAAAAAAAAAAAAAAAAAAAAAAAAATCTTCAGATTAAACTGTAAACCTTAAGGTGACCACATGGTATGAACAATTTTAATCATAATTAATTCTCTGTTTATTTTATCTCCTTTTAGACTAAGACAGCAACAAGTCTCATTTTAAATACTAACTTAAATTGGTATGGATTTTTATAAAAATACAAAGTTATATTTTATAATATATATGATTCAACCCTGGTTCAGCATAATTTTTACATGATGCTAAATTTCAAGGATATAGAGGTTTATTCAGATTAACAAGCTAAATTAAAATGTATGTTAACTGCCTATGTCTTTATCAATTCCTGAATTAGTGAATAAACGTTGTTTTTCCACCATGAGCTGCCTGTGATCTGGATTCACCACTAGGGTTTCTGGCTATACATTTGGTATAATAAATTCAAATTTATTATTAAAATTGCTTTATACTGTTTTATATTGTTGGCTTTTAAACTTAGAACTCGGGTTACTATGTAGAGTTTTTACAAATACTCTAAATTAATATCTACTAATTTTAGAGACATTTATTTATTTATGTTAAAACTTGGTCATTGTGCTCTATCTTCATTATCAAAAGGTTAAAATATGATTGGTCTTGTTTTCTAAAAATGGTAATATTATTAATCTATGTATACTTTTATAAGACTTTTATAAGCTATGGACTTTTTATATACTAAACCATACAGAAAACTGTTATACTCTCGTCTTAATGGACTATGTTTATGACTCTAAAGGCTCCAACTTAACAGGGATGAAACCTAAAGTCCTACAATTGCAGGTTAATAGTCATCTCATAGATGATCAAGTCCTCTAACTCGTCCAAAAATACATTTATAGTCCTACAGATGCAAACATGGTCTCACTGCTAGCTTAACTGACCGGCTGAGGACGCTCCCTGAGTCACCATACAGGAGTTCTTAAAAAATAAGAGAAAGCCTTCCCGACAGGCTCAGCTACAGCAAAAACTATGCTCCAGAGCTTGGCTGCTCCTCTGAGGATGTTGGCATTCCTGTTTAAAAAGAGAGAGAGAGAGGGGTCTGCAATGCTCCCTCACACTGGGGTATGGCTAAGTCAGCTCTGCCCGGTGACTGTTTCAAATGCAGCCGGGAAGCACGCTGGCCCCACGGCTGTGTCAACACACCACGACTGCCGGCTGGCAGACTGGCTCTGGAAGTCAAAATGCCCCCATGCTGGCTTGTCCTCTGCCCAGCCACGGAGGCTCAACCAGCACAAGAGCCACAGGCACTTCCAGCCTTCGAGCTCTTTGACCTGGCGGAGGACAAATGGCTCCTAGACTCAGCCACCTCCACCACCCTCGCCCAGCCCAGGGTAGCAGTACAGGTCTGTTTTAACCCCACCCTTGAGTCCCATGGTCATATTGCTAATTCTGTATAGGAGGCCTCAGATGCCTTTTCTTCACAAGCAGGAGACCAGGCCTCACTCTTCAAGTTGCTATTGTTAGGTCTAGACAGTCTAATTTGCTATCAGATAAGAAACAGGCCTCAGATATAACCTTTTACCATCCCTTTAGCTACTAATGGTAAATAACTAAATACAAAGGCCAAAGGAAACAAAGGTTTAAGTTATAAAATTTGTTAAGAAAATGTTTGAGGATCTAAGAAGGTGTTTTAAGGTTGGTAAATGCAAATTATAAATGTTTGAGGGTCGAAAATGTTGTAAGATTGGTAAATACAAACTTAAAAATTGGCTAAGCCTCCCATCCATAATGTGTAATCATACTAAAAGATCAAGTGAGCTTCTGTCCCTTCTACTTCATGGAAGCCTTTCCAGAGCTCTTAAAGAGTATTTATGCTGTTAACACAAAGGCATATGTCTACTCCCTTTTCTACAATGTGCACTTTAACGCATATTACATGTTTAATGTAATAGGGCTAATGTAAAACTTAAAAGGGATTCTTATATGCTGTAGAAATTCCACCCGAATCCACCTCTCAGGTCAACTGGGCTCCAGATAAGTACTGCATCTATTGTCTATCTCAAAAGGTGGGGTCCCCCCTTCCCTGGTTTTGGGACTCCTCTTTCCTGGGTACCCAATAGCTACAGTTATATATCCAACACCAGCAGACTGACGAGTCCCCTTCCATGGTCGGCATAAACATTCCCCTTCATCTGAGAGACTGACTGGTATCTCTCCATTTCACTGGAGAAGGGAGGTACCCTCCCTTTTTGCAGACCCCCACACAGACACCTTCCCTTGGGTGAATAATCGTTTTCTTTGTACCAACAAGATCTCTCGGCTTTTTCTTTCCTCTCTGGCGTCAGGCATACTGTTGGAAAATCCTAGTACTAGGTGAGCCATGTCTCCCCGGGGGTCTTTCCTGTGGCCCCTGGCACTGCTTTGCCAGCTTGTGCCCCTGTATCTCTGGTTCTCCTGTACTTTGTGGGGATGCCCCACAGACTGGCAGAACTGACTTTTCTCTTTTCACCCATATAACCCTAGGCTCTCCTCTGGGATGCTTCCAAGATAATTTCACATTTGTATACCTAGCCACTGCTTTAAGGGCCTCTAGGCTTACACCTTTCTGCAACCAAACATGGCCTCAATTTCCTTAGATGACAGATCCAAAGCAAAATCTTTTAAATTACTGTCAGCAATCGAGTAAATGGAGGTTCCTACATTCAAGTCTCTTTTTCCGTCTCTGTTCACTCACCCAAAAAGTTTCAAACATACACCTAAAAGTGATGTATACCTGAAGAAATTTTCTCTGTAACCTGCTTAACTTTTTCTTCTGCCTATATATACATTCCAGTATCCTGCCAGACACAGGTGTTTCCTACATTAAGAACATGGCCAAAACAGCTACCCACAGGTGTTCCAGCCTAACCTCCCAGACTGTGTTAAGCCAGACCTTCACTTTCACTCCCAGCCATGGGTGTTCTCACAGACCCTGGACAGCACCAAACAACCTACTCTTCCTGGGCTTGGCCAACATTTCAGCCTTCTGACCTCCCTATCCTCGTGTCAGCAGGAAGTAGCTAACGATTGATTTCTTCACCCATGATCCACTTTTTATCAACAAAAGGCTAAAATGGTGTGCTTCAGGCTCTCCCAGTGTTCCTCAGTCCCTATCTGCTGCTGGGCATGGCTGGCAACTCCACCCTCTACCCTGAACCTTTCAGGGCTGGGACTTCCCCTCATCATATAATCTGAGCATTTTGGAGCTCTGACTTTTTCCTCTCTGTCTTATCCCCTTGCATGGTAACCAAGAGCTGCTTCTAATAAACCTACATTTATACGCTTTAACTTGCCTTACATGAGAAACAGACCAAGCTCATTTATTAATTAAACAAAAAGGGAGGAATGTTATGTTGTACAAGCAATTCAGCTGGCCTTCCCTTTGGGACCTTTCAGGTCCTGACATCATCCTATGTCAGTGCCTGCATCCTAAGACATCATCTGGGCCAGGTACAGCCCACTGTCAGCCACTCCCACTCTCTTGCTCTTTCCCCCTTTCCTGCTCTCTTCCCTCTCTGTTGGGACGCCCCTCCCCCCACCATGTCCCCTCTTTCCATTCTCTCTCAATCTCTCCACCGCTATCCAATAAATCTCTTTCATATAGTACCTGTTGTATGCATGGCATCATTTGTAAATAAATACTAACAGGGGTCAAAAGATCTGTGTTCACCACTGACAAAGCCTAACACAGCCTCATAAGCATCTGTAACTCCAAGTCCAGGGTATACTGGGGCCTCTTCTGTCCTTCCCGAGGTGCACACACACACACACACACAGGCTGGTAAAATACTTAAAGCGGACGGTGCCTCAGGTAAAGCTCCTGAGGTATGCATCTGCACACACATTAACATCTAACAGACGCAGGCACACAAGTTTTTTTTTTTAAAGGAAATGCAACTTTCTAAAAAGCGGATGGTTAAAGGCGGGCGGTTGTGGCTCACACCTATAATCCCAGCACTCGGGAGGAAGAGGCAGGTGGATCTCTGGGAGTCTGAGGCCAGCCTGGTCTACAGGGTGAGCCCCAGGACAGGCAGGGCTACACTGAGAAACGCTGTCGGCAAAACCAAAAGTTGATGGTGCCTGAGGAACACCCGAGGTGCCCTCTCGCACGTGCACGCGCCCGAGCAGAGCCAAAATTTTAATATGTATATTCAGATATATCAGGAAAGGCCACGTACATTCGGGGGGCGACGCGGGGACACCACGCACCCCAGCCAGCGGCCTCGCGGAAGCAGCGCTGCAGCGCACCGGAAGTGGACGTCCCCATCGGGGTGCTTGGGACACGCGGGAAGCGGACCTTCCCGAAGTCAAACATAAAGACAAAAAAAAAAAAGAGAGAGAGAGAGAGAAAGAAAAAAATTGAACAACGGGGGTTACTAAGGAAACACCGCGTAAGGAGCGGCGGGGAGGAGGCGCCCTCGGCCGCGCCCCCGCGCCCCCGCGCCCCGCGCGCTCCCGCCGCCCGCCCCGGGCCGCTGCGCACGCGCAGCCCAGGCTTCAGACCCCCGGCGCGGCCCGCACCGCTGGGCCCTCAGGTGCGTATTCCGCCGGCGCTCCCCTCACAGCTTCCGCTTCCGAAGGTTCCCCGGGGACGAGCCAAACCCCGGGGCTCGGGGTGGAACCTTCAGGCGCCCGGAGACCGGCTCCGAACCCCGTCTTCTGTACCTCGAACAGGCCCTGACGAGTGGGGGTGGGGAGGGGAAGACGCGCCGTCGGGCGACCGAGGCACGCAAGGCGCGCTCTGAAACTCTCTGCTTTGATTGGCTGTGACGGGAGCGAGGCGGGACTGTGCCCCCGTGCGCGCAGAGGTCACGCGCCACCCGACGTCCCTGCGCTGGGCATGGAAGCACTTAGATTGGCCAAGGGAAGAGGCGGAACCACCGAGGTTGCCTAGTAACGGAGCTCTGGCCCCGCCTCTGACGTCGTGCTCTGCCTGTAGGCCCCAGGATTTGGGGGGCGGGTCTTGGCTCGTGGCGGCCATGGTTTCATGTGTATAAAGAAAGCGAAGCGGGTGGGGGGGAGCCCAGGCTCCAAAATGTGGTTTGTGTCCGGTCTGGTTGAGAGTACAAGATGGCCTATGACTATAACATTTAGTACAACAACCAAGAAAAAATTTTAACTGAAGTTTACTTTAATAGTGTATTTAACCTATTGCACCCAAAACGTATTCTTGCGTGTACATAAAGAACCAGAATTGAGCCGGCAGCGGCAGTACATGCTTTCAGGTGGATCTCTCTGGAGTTCAAGGACAACCTATATATAGCAGGTTCCAGGCCTGGTGGTGCTACACAGTGAGACCTTAGCTCTATAATATAGCTTCACCGAGATCCAGGGAAATCCACCCTTTAAAATATAATACAAACCAGAAAAAGAACTCTCCTTAAAGTAAAATAATAACTTAGAATAAAATGCAAAACGTAATTCCAGCGTGGTAACTCATGTCAGTCAGCCCAGCACTGCGGATGCTGAGGCAGGAGGATTTCAGGCTTGTACTACAAGCCTGGCCAGGTGAGACCTTATCTCAAAATTGAAAAGCCAAGAACAGGAGTTGGATGTGGGGCGTGGGATTGCATGCCTTTTATCTCGGGGCCCAGGAGGCAGGGGAGGGCAGATCTCTGAGTTCGCAGCCAGCCTACTCCACAGAGCCAGTTCCAGCACTGCCAGGGCTACACAGAGAAACCCTATCTCAAAAAAATATATATATAAATAAACAAATGAATGAGCTTATATTGCTCTTATAGAGGACCGAGCACCGATTTGGAAACCCATACCCACCACCACCCATAATTCCAGTTTCAGGGTATCCAATACCCTTTCCAACCTCCTCCATCACCAGGTGTGCACACACATACATGCAGGCAAAACATAGCTACACACACACACACACACACACTTCAATGGAGGAGCTTAACTGAGCACTCCCAGCCCCTGCAGGCATCCTAGCAGCTGGTGTGGTGGCCTGGCTGCTCCACTGGGTGGCTGGGGCTCTTCAGCACTTGCTGCCATAAAGGTTATTTGTTCTGAAGTTATTGAAAGAGGACTTTTTTGACAGCTGATTTTCAGAGAAAAAATTTTTTAAAAATTTATTTATTTATTATGTATACAGTGTTCTGCCTGCATGTACACCTGCACGCCAGAAGAGAGCACCAGATCTCATTACAGATGGCTGTGAGCCACCATGTGGTTGCTGGGAATTGAACTCAGGACCTCTGGGAGAGCAGACAGTGCTCTAACCACTCTAACCATCACTCCAGCCCCAGAGAGACTTTTTAATCAAAGTGAAGCTTGGAGACTGCGTTGAGGACTTACAGCCCTGCCAACTCTCAGTTAAACTTTACAGCCTAAAGGTCGTTTTGTGGATCCATTTGAGTTGGCTTCATTGTGACAGAGAAACATAACAGAGGCAGTGATGCTAGCCAGATGTTTTCGCATAGTGCATGTAACTATTTGTCCAAAGAATCTGAAGTCTTCATTTATATCCCCAACATGACCAGTACGTTGCTTGTTTCCAAGCCTGTCTGTGCACTATCAACATCACTCGTCACATAGGCAAAATGGAGACACCCTGGTTTTGGTCAACAGCCCACATGTGCTGAGACCTAGAGTTCCAAATTTTGAAATGTTGCATTCAGTACAGAGGAGCAGCTCCTTGTTCTTCTAAGAGTGAGGATATCTGCCAGTGGGGAGGCATGAAGCATAAATTAATACTTAAGAATTTGACCCATAATTTCCAGGGAGCTGACCTCTTAGTCTGCTTATTACAATCCTGTTCTTTGATCCTTACAGCTGTTTTCAAACGTGTTTGTTTTTTACTGTTTTTCTTTCTTTTCTTTTCTATTTTTTATTTTTTGGTTTTCCAAGACAGGGTTTCTCTGTGTAGCCCTGGCTATCCTGGACTTGCTTTGTAGACCAGGCTGGCCTCAAACTCACAGAGATCCACCTGCCCCTGACTCCCCTAGTGCTGGGATTACAGGCAAGCACCACCTCACCTGGCTTTTACTCTAAGTTTTATACAGTTAATTTTTTTCTCAAACAAGACTCATTTCTTATAAAAATCAGTTGAGGTGCTGGAGAGATGGCTCAGCAGTTAGGAGCGCTTGCTGCCCCTCCAGTGGACTACAGTATAATTCCATATCAAGGAGCTCATAACTCCTTTTAACTCCATGTCCAAGGGATCTAAAGTTCTTTTCTGGCCTACACACACACACGCGTGCACACACACATACACACATGTACACACACACAGGAACATGCACACACAAATATGCACATATAACTAAATACTCTTTTAAAAGAAGGAGAATGAATAAATAAAGCACCTCTTCTCTATTGTGGATGACACCACTGTGTTTATTTCTGTGCATTGGATGTGGGTATTTATTTTTGGATTCTTGTGGGTGTTTACTAAACAATAGAATTGCGGGGTCAAGCTTTGTGGCTTTGTGGGTATTTTATTTTATTTGTGTTTATTTCTACTTGGGATTGAGCCCAGAACCACTGAGCTACTGTGCCAGACTTATGTTTTGTTTTTTTAGATAGATTTATTTTTATTTATTTAGCTAGCTAGCTATTTATTTATTTTCGTTTTTTTTTTTTTTTTAGACAGGGTTTTCTCTGTGTAGCCTTGGCTGTCCTGAAACTCACTCTGTAGACTGGGCTGGCCTCAGGCTCACAGCAATCATCAGCCTCTACCTCCCGAGTGCTGGAATTAAGGTGTGGGCCACCATGCCCATGTCATTACATGAGTTTTAGCTGGAGGGTTCATAGAGACAGAGGCTGAAGGGCTTCGTTCAAGCATCAAAATTTTATCTAGTGGACACAAAGATACTAGGCCACTTACAGAGGTGACAATAGTCGGATGTTAAACAGCAATAAAGATAGCCCAAAGAAATTTGGCTTCTTTATCTGTCCCATCTCAGTTCTACATGATCAGAGGCCGTAAAATAACCTGCCAGCTCCTGGCTGTGCATCGAGTATCTGAGGCCAGCTGTAATTTACAAGGATTCTTTCTCGGTCTCCCTCACAAACATGTAACCCTTCCATTGCAAAAAGGCAGCCAGAGGAAGTCAAGAAGTAAAGACCCACAGTCTTAACCTGTGGGTCAGAACCCCTTTGTTGGTCACAAATCAGATATCCTGCGTATCAGGCATTTACATTACAATTCATAACAGTAGCAAAATTACAGTTATGAAGTAGCAACAAAATAGTTTTATGGTTGGGGGTCACCCCAATATAAGGAACTGTATTAAAGGGTCGAAGCATTAGGAAGGTTGAGAACACTAAACTAAAGGGTGGAGATGTGTTTCAATAAAAATTTATTTTGTTTTACTTTGCCTTTTTAAAAATTTGAGACAGCGTCTCATTGTCGTCCACAGTAGCATTGAAGTCTGTGTAGTTAGCTATGACCTTCTCTTCTGATCCTCCTGCCTTCACCTCCTGGGTGCTGGGATTCCAGGAGTACACTACCTGTTGTTTTTCCTGTCAAAGATGGAAGTCCAGACTTCAGTCATGCTCTCCAAGAGCACTCTTCCAACCGAGGCACAGCCCATCCCTATAAATCTGCAGTTAAGAAAAAGTCAACTACTGTATAAAATCTATGGTTTCCTTGAATGTTGCTGGTACTTTACATGTGAGTAGAAAAGGCGCTGGGAGATTCTATTCTGTGGGGCTCATTTATACCTTAAAGTGCTTAGTTTCATTGGGTTTAGTGGTATCTGTCTTTAATACCAGCCCTCAGCAAGCTGAGGCTATGAGGATAATGAATTTAAGACAAAGAAAGGAAGAAAGAAAGAGAGAAAGAAAGAAAAGAAAAGAAAAAGAAAAGTTCTCCTGCTTCCTGTGTTGTTATATGTGGATACAAATAAAGCAAAATAAACGGGACATGGTTGATTGTCTGTTACTGCTTGGTGCAGAATTGATGACAGCTGGTAATCCCTAAGGACTAGCCCCTCTCACTCTGCCTGTCATTTCTTTCTTTGTCAAAGGCCAAAGTTTTAAGCCAAGCATGGAGGTATGTGTCTATTTTCTCAGCACTTGGAAAATGGAGGCAGAAGGGTCAGGAATTGAAAGTCATCCTTGTCTACAGAGTCGGGGGGGTGGGGGCTTCATAAGACCCTTTTGGGAAAAAAAAAAAAAAACAACAAAAACACAGCCCGGTATGGTGGCACATCCCTTTGATCCCAACATTCAGGAAGCAGAAGCAGATAGATCTTCAGTGATTCTGAAGCCTCCTTGCTTGGTCTACAGATTGAGTTCCAGGCCAGCCAGAGGCTATATTATGAGACCCTGTCTTAGAAAAAAGAAAAGTAGCAGTCTTCTCTAGAGCTTCCTGGTCTGCTATAACCAACCTTAACCACACATTGCTACCTCCATGCACCTTGTTCCTCGGCTGTGGGAGCTGCAGGTTAGGTAGGCTCTGGGTATCATATAAGGACTACCCAAGCCTTCAGTGTCCTCAGGAGATCTCACCTCCCAAAGCCTCTGGCATCTCCATCCTGCACGAGCCTGAGCATCCGACCTTCAAACCATAATGGACCCTCGATTCCACACCCAGGGAGCTATAGTCATGTGATCACAGTTCCCGCCACTCACTTCCTTGTTTCTTCTATACAGGACCAATGGCCCAAGTAGCAATGTCCACCCTGCCCATTGGAGATGGGTCCTCAGAGAGCAGAATGGTGGTGACGCTCCTCATGTCTGCCCTGGAGTCCATGGTGAGACACTATGCTCTGCCCGTTTCTCAGGTTGTTGAACGGAAGGATGGTGACAGATTTCAGTGTCACTTCTTATTTACCCACCCCATCCCTCCCCACCCTGGTCTGTATGAGGGCATCATCAATGCAGGCATGGTGGTACACACCTGTAAACCCCAGCACTTTGGGAGGTGGAGAAAAGAGGATCAGAAGTTCAAGGTCATCAAAGGCGTCAGTCAGTAAGGGTTGTTTTGATTTTTTTTTTTTTTTGTACATGTTTCTAGTGTGTGTGAGATGTGTGCACCTGTGCACACCATAGAGTGTTCCCAGAGGTCAAAGGACCACTTCTGTCACATGGGTCCTAGGGATCAAACTCGGGTTACAAGGCTACCCACTGGCCATCTTTGCCAACTGAAAATAGTGAATTCACAGCTAGTATGGGACACATGAGACCCTCCTCTTCCCTGGCATAAAAAGAAAACCACGATATTTATCCCCAAAACCATGGAATGGGATTGGGTCCATTCCTGTATATAACAGGCTTCCGCATCCAGGCCTCTCTAGACAGGGGTACAAGACATAAGGGCAGATCAGGCCCCTCACAGGCCTCAGATCCTGTGTGTATGTGTTTCCGTAGGTAAATAGAAAAGCCATAAAGCAGGGCCTGCAAGACGGCTCAGCAGGAAAAGGAGCTTGACACCAACCCTGAGTATCTGAGTTCAGTTCCTGGGACCGACAGAGTACAAGAGAACTGACCCTCGCAAGTTGTTCCCTGACCTTCGAATGAGCACTGTGATGCGGGGTGCTCATTCACACATACACGCACACCAGCTGCTGCTGTTCATAATAATAAAATAAAAAGCAGAATATGGAGGAGATGTTTAAATTCAGATGTTTAAGAGTAAGTGAGTCAGTAGTTTGGGAAGAAATCTCTTGGTAGTTGACTCCTCCCCCCCTTTTTAACTTTTTTTGTTTTTTAAAGATTCCTATCCAGCCCAGGCTGACCTTGAAGTTGCTATTAGGAGAAGCTCTGACCCCTGCCTTCACCTCCCGAGTGCTGGGGCGAGCCATCTTTCTTGTACTTGATGTTTCTTTCTCCCCTCAGCCAACCTAACCACCTCTAGACCTGCCCGCGCAGAGTCCCCCATTGTTGCTTTGCATTTCTGTTTCAGTGTAAAGAGCTGGCCAAGTCCAAGGCTGAGGTGGCCTGCATCGCCGTGTATGAGGCGGACGTGTACGTGGTGGGGACTGAGCGAGGCTGCGCCTTTGTCAACGCCAGACAGGATTTTCAGAAAGACTTCGCACGACACTGTGAGTGGCCAGCGTTGTACCATGTCAGCCCTGGCGCTGTCTGTCTGTCTGGTTGGTTGGTTTTTACACCGGGGACTGAATTTATGACCTCGCACATGCTAGGCAAATAATCCACCATTGAACCATATCCAACTTATTTTCCTATTTCCACCGCCCCCGGCCCCAGACAGGGTTTCTGAGTGCTGGGGTTAAAGTACAGGCTGTACAGGCTGGAGAGATGGCTCACTTCCAGAGGTCCTGAGTTCAATTCCCAGCAACCACATAGTGGCTCTCATCCATCTATAATGGGATCTGATGCCCTTGTCTGGAATGCAGGTGTCCGTGCAGATAGAGGACTCATATACATAAACAAACACATCTTTAAAAATAAAAGTTTGTTTCGTTTCCTAGTCTCAGTGGCCTGTGCAGAGGCAGAGCACGTGGAGGGGAGGGCTCTCCGCTTGGCTCATGGTGGACAGCAGGCAGAGAACGGACCAGGGACAAAAGTCACATTCAGAGGCTGAGCAGTGCCCTGCTTCCTCCAGCAAGACCCCACTTCCCAACATCTCCAGAGCTTCACAAATCAGTGCCGCCATGGGGACCAAGGTTTTAGCATATAACCCTTTGATAGAGACACTTCGTATTCCTGCCACCTCTGGCACTGTTTTCTTAAAGATTTGTTTGTTTGTTTGGTTGGTTGGTTTGGGGTTGGTTTTTTTTGTTTTGTTTGGTTTGGTTTGGTTTGGTTGTTGATTGTTTTTTGAGATAGGGTTTCTCTCTGTAGCTTTGACTGTCCTAGAAGTTATTCTATAAAGCAGGCTGGCCCCAAACTCACTGAAATTCACCTGCCTCTGCCTCTGCTCCTGAGTGCTGGGATTAAAGGTGTGTGCCACCACTGCAGCTTAAAGATTTATTTTTTTATTTTAAATTTGTTTGTGGGAGCCAAGTACATGCTTGTAATCCCAGTACTCAGGGAGGCAGAGGCAGTGGATCTCTGTGAGTTCGAGGCCAGCCTGGTCTACAGAGTGAGTCCCACACAGCCAAGGCTACACAGAGAAACCCTGTCTCAAAAAAAACAAAACAAAACATTTCTGGGGTGTATGTTTGTAAATGCAGTTCCCACAAGAGGCCAGAAGGGGGCATCAGATCCCCTGGAGCTAGAGTTCCAGGCAGTTGTGGGTTCCTGACATTGGTGCTGGGAACCAAACCTGGTCCTTTGCAAGAGCAGCCACACTTGTAACTGTAGCCAATGAGCTTTCTTTCCAGTTTCTGTAACATTTTTGTTTGTAATAAATAAATAACTCCCAAATGGCAATGGGGCACACTCCTTTTTATACTGCTGAGTGGACCTGCTCATGTTCTGTTGAGGATTTTTCATCATAGTTGATCAGGCATGCAGCTCTGGGATTTTCTTCTCTAGAGTGGAATTTTTACTTTTGCTGAGACAGGCTGGCCCAGAGTCAATATTTAGCCAATCCTCCTGCCTGTACCTCCTGAGTGCGGGAATTGCAAGTCTGTACCACCATGCCCAGCCCTGGTTTCTTGAGATAGTGTAGGATTCAGGTGTTGATTTGAAGATTTTCTCATTACTGTCATTTTGAGGCAGCAGCAACTGAGAGAGTCTAGTCAATATTGCCCTTGTAAGGGCTCTCCGTCCTCAGACCCGCCAGCACTGGGGTCTCAAGGGTGAGCACTCTCTCTGGCATACAGGTAGCTGTGTCTCGGGTGGCCACCATGCTGGATCCCATTCATCACACAGCCTGTTCTGTCAGGGCTGGAGAGATGGTCAGTGCTGACGGGCTTGTTGCGCGTACAGGGGCCCGCATCGGGTGGCTAAGAACCGCTGGTAGCTCCGGCACCAAGAGATCCGATGCCCTTTCCTGGCCTCTGAGAGCATCCACACACATGTCACACAGACACACATGTTCACGTAAAAATAAATCCTAAAAAAATACTCTATTCTTGGGGCTTGGGGATCCAGCTAGTAGCAGTTACCACGCATGTGTGAAGCCCTGGCTTCCATCCTCAGAAACACACACACACACAAACACCCTCTCTGTAAAAGGGTCATCTTATGGTTTTCCTTTTTTTTTCCCCCTCCTTTTCCTCTCAATACCAGAAATACAGATGGGAGGGAACAGAAAGAATGCGTGCCTGACCGTGCTCCTTCTGTATTTGCAGGCCAGGGGGAAGGGCTCGCTGAAGAGAAACCCCCGTGTCTGGAAAATGGGACACAGGTCTGCCCAGGAGAAGCCCAGCTGCTCAGGAAAGCAGTGGAGGACCATTTCTGCTTCTGTTACCGTGAGTCGCCGTGGGGCACAGGCACCGTGTGTGTGTGTGTGTGCTCTCGAGCCTGTGTGTCTGTGCGTGTGTGTCTATATGTGTGTCTGTCCCTGTGTGTGATATGATATGTGTGTATGTGATGTGCTATGTGGTGTGTGTGTGTATGTGTTTGTCTGTGTATGTGTGGTGTGTGTCTGTATATGTGTGTTTCTGTCTCTGTGTGATGTGAAATGCAGGATGGGTTTGTGTGTGTAATGTGCTATGTGGTGTATGAGTCTGTGTGTCTGTCCATGTGTCTGTGCTTGATGTGATATGTGTGCGTGCTTGTGCTCTGCTCTGTGGTATGTACACATGTGTGTGTGTGTGTGTGGTGTGTGGTGTGTGTGAATGAGGTGCATACATGCCATACGGTACACCTCGAGGTCACAGAACAACTTGCAAGAAGTTGTTTCAGATTGGTTGAACTCACTTTTACCCGCTGAACCATCTCTCTAGCCCCTGAGTACTCTAAATAGCTATGTAGGAGTTGTGCGATTGTATCAGCTTCATAACTTAGATTTCTATGAACTCATTTATTAATAATTTATATATTTACTTTTGCAGTGCTGGGGAGGGAACCCAGAGTCTCATTAATGCTAGGCAGGTGCTGAGCCATACTCCAACCCCTCACTGGGGGATTCTAGGCAGGTGTTCTACCACTGAGCCACACCCCTAGCTCCTCACTGGGGGTATATTCTAGTTCCATCCCCAGCATCACAAAAGGAAAACACACACAGCACCTCTAAATCATTAGATAGCTGTGTAGCAGAAAGGGGAATGTAATGAGTACAGATAGGAACAAAGTATGATACACATGTACATATAGGAAAATGTCACAAGAAAGCTAGATATGATGGAGCACACTTGTGATTCCAGCACTCGAGACCTGAGGCTGGAGGATCACTACAAGTTGGATACCAGCTTAGAATTCAGGCCACCTAGGCTCCCTTTTTCAGAAACAAAAGCGAAAGAACTAGGGAGCTGGCTTAGTGTTGCTTTTTGTATAAACATTAGGATCTGAGTTCAAATCCCCAGCACTGTATTACTGACCTTCAGCAGCAGCTGAAATTTTACAACTTTGTAGATGTTTTAGGGTAAAGAAGAAAAAGCTCCTTTGTGCCTTTTAAAAAATTTTTCTGTGTATGTGTGTTTCGCCAGTATGCATGTGTACATACATGTGTGCCTGGTGCCTACAAAGATCAGAAGAGGATGTTGAATCTTCCAGAGTTGAAGTTACACACATGTGGGTGGTGGGAACTGAACCCAGGTCTTCGGGAAGAACAGCCAGTGCTCTTAACCACTGAGCCATCGCTTTAGCCCCTCCCTCGTTTTTGGAAATGAGAAAAGGTTTACTTTGGCCTATTTTTGTTTGTTTGTTTTTTCAATTTATTTTATTTACTCTATATGAGTGTTCTATCTGCATGTACACCTGTGTGCCAGAAGAGGGCAACAGTTCCTAGTATAGATGGCTGTGAGCCACCATGTGGTTGCTGGGAATTGAACTCAGGACCTCTGGAACAATAGACAGTGCTCTTAGCTGCTGAGCCATCTCTCCAGCCCCTTGGCCTATTTTTTGAATAATGTATTTATTATTAACTTATTTTATGTACATTGGTGTGAACTGAAGTTACAGACTGTTGTGAGCTGCCATGTGGATCCTGGGATTTGAACCTGGGTCCTCTGGAAGAGCAGCTAATGCTCTTAACTGCTGAGCCATTTCTCTAGCCTCCATGGCCTGTTGTTTTACAGGTATATTATTCAGGGATTTCTAGAAAAAGAGACTGATAGAATGATTATATGATTTTTATATATTGTCATAGTTGGGGTTTCTGTTGTTGTGATGAAACACTATGACCAAAAAGCAAGTTGGGAAAGAAAGGGTTTATTTGGCTTACACTTCCATATATGTATATATTTGTGTGTGCACTGGATATATATACTATATATGTGAATGTAGACATTCATATAATATAATGACCACATATACTGTATATATATATCTATAATATACACATATATAATATATATATATATATTTATACACACACATAATATGATTTATTAGAGTGTCTTACAGGGTGTGGTCAGGGATCTGGTTGTTGTTCAGTCCACAGGGCTGGGTGTCATAGCTAATCTGCAGCCTGTGTTGGAATCCCAGAGAAGTAGGTTCTAATATCAGTGCAGACATGCCCCAGCAGCAGGATCAATGAATTCGCCAGCAAGAGTGAGAGCAAACAGGCAAAATGCAAAAGCTTCCGTTTTCCATGTCCTTTCATGTGGGTGGCCATCTGAAGGTGTGGCTCAGATTTAGGGTTGGGTCTTCTGGCCTCAAATGATCCAGATTTAGGATAAGTCATCTCACCTCAAATGATCCTTCACAGGTGTGTCCAACTTGTTGGGTTTTAGTTGATCCTGGTGTAGTCAGATTTACAACCAAGATTAGCCATTACAGGAGAAGCAAGAGTCCATCACGGCAAGGACGGCATGGCCACAGGCAGGGCGTGGGTGGCAGCAGGCGCAGGAAGTTGGCTGACCTCATCGCAGCCACACTGAGGAAGCACAGAGAGAGTGAGCATGCTTGTGCCCTCAGGCCACATGCCCCTCCCTGTGTCTGTCACACTGGATGAAACTGGCGGGTGGGGACTTGCGGGAGCTTCATTCACCATCTCAGCTCTTCTTCCAGGTAAAGCCCTGGGGACAACAGCCATGGTCACTGTTCCCTATGAGCAGATGCTTCAAGATGAGGCAGCTGTGGTGGTTCAGGGCCTCCCAGAAGGCCTGGCCTTCCAGCACCCGGACAAGTACAGTCCTGCAACCCTGAAGTGGATTCTGGAGAACAAAGCGGGGATCTCATTCGTCGTAAACAGGTAATCTGCCCCCTAGCTTCTAGCAGTTCATGTGGAGATAAGCTGGCTTGAGCCAAGTGTGGCGATGCAGGCCTGCAGTCTCTGTGCTGGGAGACTGAGGCAGGGGAATCACTGAAAGTTTGAGGCAAGCCTGGTACAGTGAGTTCAAGGACAGCCTGAGATAGATACCAAAATCCTGTCTCACAAAAAAGAAAAAAAGAAACTTGTCATGGTCTGGGGCCACAGCTGAGACAGCCGAGTCATAGAGCACTCCCCTGGCACGCACCAGGCCCTGGGTGCTATGCCCAGCATTACAACAAAATAAAGTGGATTGTTCACTGTGTGTGACTGCTCTGCTGTGTTCATGTTGGGTAACGGTGTTGGTTTTCTTGCAGACCTTTCCTAGGTGCAGACAGCCAGCTGGGTAAGTAGCAGGTTCTGATCCTTGGTGGCCGCCTGAGCCGCCAACCCATTCCACTATTACGATGATGATGCATGTTTCAAGATGCTTCTCCATCTTACCACACCGATGAGGCAGCCCGAGTTGGGGGCGGGGTGGCAGCTTGATTATAGATCTCTTACCTATAGGGTCACCCAGTGAGGTGATTCGGTAGTAAAGCACCTGCCTAGAATCCCCCAGTGAGGGGCTGGGGTGTGGCTCAGTGGTGGAGCACCTGCCTAGAATCCCCCAGTGAGGGGCTGGGGTGTGGCTCAGTGGTAGAGCACCTGCCTAGACTCCCCCAGTGAGGGGCTGGGGTGTGGCTCAGTGGTAGAGCACCTGCCTAGAATACTTTTATGATGGGCTCAAGGCATGCTTTTATAGGAGAGTGCTTGTCTAACATGCATGAGACCCTGGGTTCTCTCATCAACGCTACAGAGAGAGAAAAAAAAACTTATGGCACTATGATGCTAAAAGACTAGGTAGATGTCTCACACAGGGAGAGACAGCAGCCAGAGACTTGTCACAGCCCAGGTTAGAGAGCCAACCTGGTGACAGGCACCTGGTCTTCTGGAGGAGTGTGGGATGTCGGGACTCAACTGCTGGTCAGTGAGTACCAGCCCTGCACAAAGTTGTTGGGTTGAGGGGGCTCTGAAACTCAGGGGGAGAAGGAATAGCCCTGTTTAGCAAAGAGCCAGGAAAAAGGTGGTGCTCCTAGAATGTCAAGGTCGCTCCCAGGGTTGGCATGGGGCTGGAATAGCTTAGCTGACAAGCAGTCCAACAACATGGCCCTCAAGATAAGCAGGGACTCACTGGAGCGTAGCCCACTGCCATGGCCCAGGCATCGGGGATCTAAGGCAAGAGCTTCGGGAAGTTAGGCCAACCTGAACTGCATAGCAGGTTTGAGATAGCACTGCGTATTAAGACCCCGCCTCAGAGAGACAGAAGTTAGAGAGGAAAGAAAATAAGCAGGGGCTCACCAGTTTGGTTCTCTTGAGATGACAAAGCTCAGTGGCAGGGCGCCTGCAGACTTGTGGGAACCCAGACGTCCCCTGTGCCCCGATTCCCAGCAGTGAGGGTCCCCCTCTCTACTTCCAAATATCTCTGCCAAAAGCATTTCAAAGTCCACCCGTCTATGCCTGGGCATAATAGCAAGTATCTTTCATTCCCAACAATCAGAATTCAGAGGCAGGGGTATCTCTGAGTTCAGAGCCAGGCTGGTCCATCTAGTGAATCCTAGAACAGCCAGAGCTTCATTGTAAAAACCCTGTCTTTAAACAAGAAAGAAAGGAAATCCACTCATGTTATTTTCTTAAATAATTTTACCCCTTATTTTCTTAAATTATTATTATTATTCATTAGTTTTTTGAAACATGCCTTCTCTGTGTAACCTTGGCTGTCCTGGACTCACTTTGTAGACCAGGCTAGCCTCAAATTCACAGAAATCTGCCTGCCTATGCCTCCCCAAGTGCTGGGATTACAGGTGTGTGGCACCCTGCCTGGCTAAATTGTTATTTTTGAAATGTAGCTGGAGCTGTGTGCTCCCAGTGGTTCACAAAACATGATGTCTAAAGGGGATGTAATGATGGACAGCATGGGCAGAGGAAGGAAGCCAGGGGTGGGAACTGTGTGCCCTCCATTGCTGTGCACCTAAATCAACACGGTCCCCTTCCAGGCCGCCTATTTGTGGGGTCTTTGTGAGGTCCTTGTGGTCCTCTTGCTCCTAATAGAGTAGGAGTCCAGCAGGGTGGCATACACTGTCTTCCTCCCACTGGAGAGGCTGAGGCAGGAGACCAGCCTGGGCGACATAGCAAAACCCTGTCTCAAAGAAAAATCCAGTGAGTGTCAGGGGGCAGGGGGATGGGAGGGCACAAGCATGTAATCCCAGCACTCTGGAGGCAGAGGCAGGCAGCTCTCTGTGAGTTGGAGGCCAGCCTGGTCTACAGGGAGAGCGCCAGGACAGCCAGGACTGCACAGAACAGCCCTGTCTCAGAAACAACAAAACCAAAAAAAAAAAAAAAATCCAGCAAAAGCACTGGAGAGATGCTGCAGCGGTTAAGAACTCCTGCAGAAGACCCGGCACCCACACTGCCCCTCAAACTGCCTGGCACTACAGCTCCATGGGATCCATGCCTGCTTTGGCTTTCAAGGACACCAGGCATTCATGAGAAACACATGCATTCAAGCACTGGCACATACACATAAGAAGTAAAATACATGGCTTGTTTTTTGTTTTGTTTTTTTTTTTTTATCCAAAGAAGAACCTGTAGGTTGATGGTCGAATGACAACCAGGTGACTGTCACCCAGGATGATTCCTATTTTGGTACCACAATACCAGTCACACACACAGCTGACATTCAGTGCTTCCGTGGTGACAGTGCTATTTTCCTCAGCCTGTATGGGATGTCAGCACTGGGACTCCACATGATAACTCCAAGTCCCGGAAGGTCAGATTTCTTCTATACGATGGCAAAGGATTCTCCAGTGAGGCCTGTGCTGGTTCTGTGTGCTCAGTCCAGTCTAGCCCACTTAGAATAGTCCACCTAAGAACAGGGAAGAGTGGCCAGTGGCTGTCATCCCAATGCTTGGGAGGCTGAGGCAGAAGAATAACAGGTTTAAGGCCTGACTGGGCCATACAGTGAGCTTCGGGCCAGCCTAAGCTACATGCTGAGACCTCATTGCAAACCAACAAAACAGGCCTAAGGAAATGGAACGCGGTGCTAAAACCTTTGCCTACCATGTGTGCCCTGGGTTCAAGCCTCAGCACCAAAATAAAACATAAAAATAACAAATCAGAAAAATAAAAAGTCATAGTCCAAATAAAGAAAAGAATTTTAAAGCAAGAAGGAGCCCAGCAGTGGCGGCACACGCTTTTAATCTCGGCGCTCAGGAAGGCAGAGACAGGCAGATCTCTGAGTTCAGGGCCAGCCTGGTCTGCAAATTGAGTTCGGGGGAGGAGGGTGGAGCAAGAAGGAGAAATGAAATCTGCACTGTGGAGGTGAAGGTAGAAGGATCAGGAATTCAGGGTCATCCTCAGCTGCACAGGGTGTTTTCAGGTCATCCTTAGCTACTTATCTCAAAAACACAAAACCAAAAAGTAATGTTGTATTGTTTAGGGAACGATGATGACACAGAAAGCCTCTGATGTCCAGGGCATTGGGGACCTGGGGTTGGGAACCAGCGGGTGTGGAGGGCACTGTTTCCATGAAGAAGCAGACAGGCCAGGGTAGTGACTTGCTCAGCTGACCCGCTGGTGGGTGGCCAGGTGGGGGTCCATACCTACACCCCTGGTGCTGTCTGCCCAGCAGCTGCCCACCCCTGCTGTAGCAAGCAGGACTGTCCTCCCCGCTACCCTTCTGTGCTGGCCTCGAGTTGAGAATTCTCTTTTCTCTGCTTGCTTTCAAGTCATGTGTCCTCGAATGCGAGTCCTGTTCCACACTGCTGAGACTAATGTGTGCATTTCTGTTCTTGTACAGCTGGCCTTGGGATGGTGACAGGTGCTGAGAGGCCAGCGCCAGCACCAAATGCCAGGTAACAAATAAATACTTAGAGCAACAATTAATAAAGGATAGAATGCGCAAACCAGGAATAGTGGGCGACAGAAAAAGGGAGTATGAGCTGATCATGGTTAGAGAAATGACATGGCAGGGGCTGCAGAAATGGCTCAGTGATTAAAGAACACTGGCTGCCCTTCCAGAGGACTCAGGTTCAATTCCCAGCACCCACATGGCAGCTCACAACTGTCTGTAATCCATGTCTAGGTGATTTCACACCCTCATACAGACGTACTTGCAGACAGGATTTAAGATCAATTCCTGCTCTTCCAGAGGACTCCAGTTTGGTTCCCAGCACCTGTATCAGGCAGTTGATGACTACCTGTAACTCAGTTACAGGCCATCTGACACCCTCTCTAACCTCTGTAGGCACCACACACACACACACACACACAGTATACATACTACATGCAGGCAAAACACTAACAAAAAAATAACCATTCCTGACCTTATTTCTTATTTGTTTATTTTTGGTTTTTCGGGACAGGATTTCTCTGTGTAGTTCTGGCTGTACTGGAACTCACTCCGTAGACCAGGCTAGCCTTGAACTCACAGATCCACCTGCCTCTGCCTCCTAAGCGCTGGGATTAATGGCATTCATCATCATGCTCAGCTCCACCTTCATTTTCTTGACCTGGGTTCTGTTCTCCTTGCAGCTGTGGCCCCATCAGTGTGAAAACCGAGCCCATGGAGGATTCTGGTAGGTGCGCTGATGCTTGGACAAGCGGATGTTTAGCAGGTTATCATTTGACTGACAGCTTTTTATTTACTTTTATAAAAATGAATACTACATATTTCCCAGCACTTGGGAGGCAGAGGCAAGTGGATCTCTGAGTTCAAGGCTAGCCTGGGCTATAAATCAAGTTTCAGGATGGCCAGAGATACACAGAGAAACCCTATTTCAGAACTTTAAAAAAGTATTTAACCATAACTAGGACCACATTTGTAGAATACTAGGTAAGTATCTGAAATGTTTGGCCAGCAGGTAAAGACACTGGCCTAATGGCCTGAGTTCAGGCCCAGTTTCCACATCCTGTAAGAAGAGAACCACCCTCCACACACCTCAGTCCACAGCATGTGTGTACACACACAGAAAAAGGAGCCATTGAGAGTGTTCCTGTTCTTCAGGGGACCCAGGTGTGGTTCCCAGCACCCACATGGGGCCTCACAACTGTCAGCCCCCACGTGGGAGCTCACAATTGTCTGTAACAGTAGGCCCAGGGGATCTGATGCCCTCTCCTGATGTGTAGACACATACACACAGAAAAAAACACCCATCCATATAAGCAAACAAATGGGATTACATGTGTGAGCCGCCAGTACAGCTTTGGATGGCCATTGTGCTGAGGCCAGAGTAAGGCAGGTGGTGACCTCTTCTGTCTCTTGATGTATCCCTGATGCAGGGTCTATCCGTGACCCTGGGACTCACGTTTTCTGGATGCCCACAAGACCCAGCAATCCTCCTGCCTCCATTCCATTTGGAGCTAGTATTACAAGTGTAATCCTCCAAGCAGGATGCCTGGGCCACTTTTTGGGTGCTCAGACCTGAGTTAGTCTTCATAACTGCATAACGTGTGCTCTTATCCACCTGCTCACATCTCCAGCCCCTATATAGCTTTAGGTGTTTATTTTTTAAATCTTTGAGCATCCAAGAGACAAGCCAAAGGCAGCTGAGAGTGGAGAAGTACCCATGACCAGCGATAACCAGGAAAGAGTTGGGACTTGAAAGCAGCCATGTTGGGCCTGAGACACACACCCCACAGCTCAGATCTGCTCAGCTGTGACACTTGGCTCATTTCTTCCTCTTTTCTCCAGGGCTATAATTAGAGTTTGGTCTTGCATGTTCCCCACAGGGCCAGGGTTAAACACCTGTTCCCCAGGGAGGCACTGGGAGGTGCTGGGACCCTTGACAGAGGCTCCTGGGAAATCTTCAGGTCATGGAGGCCTGGCCTCCAATTTACTGTTAGCCAAAGAGAGCTTTATTTTTAAGACTCAGTCCTTAAAATCAGGTCCTTACTAGCCTGGAACTTGCCATGTAGATGAGGCTGGCCTTGAACTCACAGAGATCCACCTGCCTCAGTCTCTGGAATGCTGGGACTAAAGGTGTAACACCATCACACCCTACTTCCAAAGAGGATCGAAAACTTCTGTTTCTCCTGCTTTTGCCTCTGTCTCCCCAGTGCTGGGACGACAGGCTTGTGCCACCATTCCCCACCAAACCACATGTTCCATGTTAGCTGGCTGCGCCTTCTTGAGCCCTAACTGTGATCTCTGTTGCATTCTTAGGCACTTCACCAAAGGCAGTAGCCGTGCTAGTCAAGACAGAGTCAGAGGATCCCAATTACTATCAGTGTAACCTGCAAGGTAAGGGCATGCCAGTCCCTTCACGGCCAAAATGGCAATCACCACTCAAGGAAGAGCCGAGAAGGAGGAAAGGGACAGGAGGATGGCTCAGTGGGCAAGACCCCTTGCCGCGCAAGCATGATCCTCACCACCCAAGCAAGAGCGTGGTGTGGCCACAGTTGCCTGTAACATCAGCACTGGGGGAAAGGCACAGGAGGACCTCTGGGCTTGCTGGCCTGTCTCAAGGGGATGAAGCGGAGAGTGATAGAGCAGGACACCAGATAGCCTCCTCAGGCCTCTGCCTGTGCACAAGGGCGCCTGTACCCGCAGTGTGTGAGTACACCACACACAGCACACAGAACGAGGGTCACAGATTATGTGTGTTGGCCTAGACTAGCAAGTTGTATTTTGAATAATATGATGAATGTCCCTTAAATACAGTGGGGCATTTGAGGGGCACACTTGTAATCCCAGTGCTCAGAGGGTAAAGGCAGGAGAATCTTAAGTTCAAGGCTACGGAGCAAGTTGAAGCCTGTGCTACAGGGGACCCTATCTCAAAAATTAGGAAAACCAGGCTGGAGAGATGGCTCCATGGTCAAGAGCACTGCCTGCTCTTCCAGAGGACTCTGGTTCAATTCCCACACCAAAGTGACAGCTCACAAGCATCTATAACTCCAGTTCCAAGGGATCCAGCACCCTCACACAGACATATATGCAGGCAAAACACCAACACACATGAAATAATTTTTTTTTTTTAATTAAGGAAAGTTTCTTAACCAGGTGCAGTGGCACGCACCTGTAATCCCAGCACGTGGGCAGGCAGAAGCAGGCGGATCTCTGTGAACTTGAGGCCAGCCTGGAGCACAAAGCAAGTCCAGGGCAGCCATGGCTACATAGGAAAATCCTGTCTTGAAAAAGCAAACAAAAACAAAAACTAAAAAAGAGAGAGAGAGAGGAAGGGAAGGAGGGAGGGAGGAAGGGAAGGAAGGGAAGGGAAGGGAAGGGAAGGGAAGGAAGGAAGGAAGGAAGGAAGGAAGGAAGGAAGGAAGGAAGGAAGGAAGGAAGGAAGGAAGGAAGGAAAACTTAAATTGCCATTGTGCTTGCAGTCATGGTAATGCAGTTTATTGAGCCAGGTCAACAGTTTGTAAAGGACCCAACTCAGTTTGTAAATGATGCACCAAACCTCATAGCAAAGACTTCCAGGGGCTGGAGATGAAGCTGAGTGGTTAAGAGCATTGTCAACTAACTCTTCCACATGTCCTGAGTTCAATTCCTAGCACCTAGATCGAAGCTCACAACCATCTATAACTGTAGTCCTATGGGATCTGATGCCCTCTTCTGGTGATCAGGTGTATATGCAGTCATATACATTAAACAAATAAATGAGTGAATAATTCCAGAAGATTGCCATGGCCACAGCAATAGGATTGGGACCCGTTGGCTTCCCTGTGAAACTGATCTGTAGCTAACACTGTTGTGGGTGGGAAGCAGTAAGTAGTAAGTGAGAGAATGAGAAGTTCATGAAGCACATCTGTGTGCTTCTTGTGTTTGTTTTTTTTTTCCCCCTCTTCTTTCTGTATCTAAATTCAGGTAATTTCAAAATAAGCTTGTTTTCCATCCAGCACCCACATGCTTGAGGGAGAGAACCAACTCCTACAAGTTGACCTCTGACCGCCACACAATCACTGTGCCATTCACGCCCCCCACGTCTGCATACATGTCATAGTTAAATAAATGTAAAACTTTTTTTGTGTGTGTGTTTCAAGACAGGATTTCTCTGTGTAGCCCTGGCTGTCCTGGAACTTACTCTGTAGACTAGGCTGGCCTCAAACTCACAGAGATTTCTCTGCCTTTGCCTCCCAACTGCTGGAATTACAGACATGCACCAGCACTGCCTGGCTAACTCCTCTTTCTTATTTTATTTTGTTTTGTTTTGTTTTTTTTTTTTTTGAGATAGGCCTTATGTAGCCCAGGCTGGCCCCATACTTACTGTGCCCTAGAGAATGATCTTCAAGTCCTTATGCTCCTGGCTCTACCTCCTGAGTGCTGGGATCATAGGTGGTGCCACTCCCAGTTTTATGTGGGGCTGGGGGTTGAACCCAGGGCATCCAGCGTGCTAGGTAAGCACTCTATATACTGAGCCACACCCCAGCCTTTGAAAGTTTCCATTGTGTTCAGTGACTTGTTGTATTTATTTATTGGTGAGGAAAGGGGGAAGTGCCATACTGCTCAGAAGACAATTTTCAGGAGTCGGTTCCCGCCTTTCATAATATGGATCCTGTGAATTAAACACAGGTCATCAGGCTTGGCTGCAAACGCCTCTGCCTGCTGAGTCATCTCGATGGCCCCAGTGACTTCTGTATGGGTTGTGTTTCTCGCTGAGCTGTAGATTGTTTATTCTCCTTTCAGGAAGCCAGCATTCTTCCACCAGCAGCGATGTCATGGAAATGGAATTACCATCTGAAGGTTAGAAAATAAAGCGTCTCCTCCCCTTAAACATGTGGGAAATAAAGAAAGTGGCTTCCTGGCACGCCTGTCTTAGGATGCAGCATGAAAGGCTGTGTGTTTTGGGTTCCCTGATCTGTAGGTGAGAACCTCACACTGGTTCTGCCGTCTGTGGCGTCACCACACCAAGTCTTTTGTTTGCTGACAGAAGATGGAGGTAGCCCAGGTTGGAGGCACACCACGTAGCCACTGTGGGTTTAGTGTGTACAGAACACGGGTAAACTTTCAAGACTAGTGGCTGGAGAGACGACTCGGCAGTGACAAACATCTGCTCATCTTCCAGAGGACCTGAGTTCAGTTCCCAGCATCCACATAGCTGCTTACAACTATAACTCCGGTTCTGGGAGATCTGACATCTTATGACCGCTGCATGAATTACACACACACAGTACACATACAGACATTCCAGCAAACACTCATATACATAAAACAAACCTTTAAAAAAAAACTCCCAAAAGAACACAGCCTGAGCTACAAAAGTCAGTCCTTGACTCAAAACAAAAACAAAACTGCAGGGGGAGCATAGATTTGGGTCAGGGGTTGCGGATAGGGGCAGTGACATGTTACAGGAACCTGAGATTGCTTAATAATGGATGTCATTTTAGACCTTTTCTTTTCAAGAGTCTACTCCACTGGTCTCTTCAGAGACAAATGAGGATGTTGAGGCTGATGTGAAAATGGAAGGTGAGTCCGAAACACTTGTGATTGTCATTTGGGCAGGGCGGCTCTCTCCGTGGCTTTCACTGTTTCTGAAACGATTATTGTAGGATGGTGATTGAAACCAGTGTGTGTTCACATGCGTGCGTGTGTTAGGTGCTGTGGTGGTCTGGATGAATGTAGGTTTTCTTTGGGGGACTGCTTATATCTACCACCCTTCAACCCTATTCCACCCTCATCCTTTCCAACCCCCCAACACTAGGTAAGAGAGAAAGGTTAGAGGGAAAGGGGGCCGTGGAGCTCTTTAGACTACTTCTTGCTGATTAAGGGCAAGTCCAATCTTCTTTGTCAGAATATCCAGAAAACCAGCAATCCAGCAGTAATAAACCCAGCAGCAGGAACCAGCAGCCAGGGCAGCAGCTGCCACCACAGGCCCGCTCAGGGCTCTCCCATTCATACCCTCTCTAGTTCCCAGAATTAAACTCTCTGCAGCTGGCAAAAGTCACACCACTCCTAGAGCTCGAGACAATCACAGTTAATGACTACGGACAAACTGAAGCAGCCCCATGCCCCACACCTGGGATTAAAACAAAAACATTCACATAACTGGGTTTTCTCACTACAGATGAGAATGGCCCCCATAGGCTCTTATATTTGAATACTTGATCTGAAGTTGATAGAACTGTTTGGGAAGGATTCAGAGGTGTGGCCTTGGTGGTGGAGGTGTGTCACTGGGGTGCAAAGCCCACACCATTTGTGGTTAGCACTCTTCGCCTTGTGCTTGTGGGTCAAGATATAAACTCTCAGGTACTGCTCTGGCACCATGCCTGCCTGCCTTCTACCATGATGGTCATGGACTCTAACCCTGTGAAACCATAAGCCCAAGAAACTCCTCCTTCTATAAGTTGCCTTGGCAGTGGTGTCTTATCATAGTAATAGAAGAGTAACTAGACAGATACCCATGACACAATGCATGTGGGACTCAGAGGGCAACTTTGTGGCGTCTCTTCACCCGTTCCACCTTTATGTAGATTCTGGGCACCAAACTTGGGTCACCAGCATTGCAGAAAAAGTACCTTTTCCCACTCTCACCGGACCTCAAGTATAAATGATTAGTCGTCTTCTTTTTCACTACAGTTAGGATTAACGCTTGAGGGTTTGTTTGGTGGAGGTCACTGGGTGGTGTCCTCACCCTCCATTTATGAGAAGCCAGCAATGCCACTTGGAGCCCTTGATTCTGACAGTTTTATCTTTCCAACAAGAATAAAAATCTGATGGCGGCTGTCTCCCTAACAGGCGAGCCTCAGGAGTCAGGGCCTTTTGAAGATGTCACCATGTGCTTAAGCAGAAATGGGCTGGCCTGACACTCGCCCAGGAGGCGCTGTGCAGGAAGTGGTGCAGGACAGCTCTGCACATGCGGCTTTTCGGGGCTGTCTCCAAACCAGCTCTGGATTGCTGAGCTGGGACACAGGAGAGAGGCAGGAAGGCTTCAGCAGTGAGGGGATGCGGACTTCATAGAGTACCTCTAAAAACTAAGAAAGCACACTCCGGAGCTGAAAGGCCAGTGCATGCAATGAAAGCAGACATGCCTCCAAGCCAGCTGTGCTGAGAGGGCAGGAAGAGAGATTGACTTGTAATAGCAGCTTGCCAAGGAGAACAATTCAAGAGCCAAGATGAATGAGTGCAGCTTCTTCTTCTTTTTCTGTAGTCTCCTTACTTCCACAGCTGTAATGCTTTCAGCTCATTGAAGTTTTCCTTTTGATGTAAATAAATGCAGGTGGAGCGGACGAGACTGGGCTGACCCCTCTCTTCGCTAATCCTGTTAAGCCACAGAGTACGGTATCAGTGGTTGCCATCCACAGCATGTTAGCTACTGTCACAGTGCTGCAACAAAATCCCTGCCTAAAGGGACTGTAAGCCGGATTTGGGGGAGCACGCCTGTAATCCCAGCACTTGGGAAGCAGAGGCAGGCAGATCTGAGTTCAAGGCCAGCCTGGTCTACAGAGTGAGTTCCAGGACAGCCAGGGCCACACAGAGAAACCCTGGCTTGAAAAAAACAAAAATGGGCTGGAGAGGAGGCTCAGAGTTTGAGAGCACTGGCTGTTCTTCCAAAGGTCATGAGTTCAATCCCCAGGTAAACCCCTGGTGCCTCACAACTATCTAGTGAGATCTGGTGCCCTCTTCTGGTGTGTAGGCACACATGCAGGCAGAGTTCTGTATAAATAATAAATAATTTTTTTTAAAAAATGCAAAAACAAAGAGACTGTAGACATAGCTCAGCGGTTAAGAGCATTTGTTGATGTTCCAGGACCTGAGTTTGGTTCCCGGTGACCTGTGGCTCAGAACTGCCTGTAACTCCAGCTCCAGGGTATCCAGTGCCCTCTCCTTGCCTCCACTGTACTCATATGCACAAATTCCAACATAGACACACATTCATACACATAAATAAAACGGTATTTTTCTGAGAAAATTAGCACCTTAAAGGAGGAAGTGTTTCTTGTGACTCATAGTTTGAGAGGAGACAGTCTTTGACAGCTTAGGAGGCATGGAAGCTGGAGTGTGAGGTGACTGGCCACATTGTATCCAGTCAGGAAGCAGAGATGGGAGCTGGTGCTCAGCTCTCTTCCTTTTTCAGTCTTGGCTTCCAGAACATGGGGTGGAGCCCCAACGTCAGGGTGAGGCCCCCCTTCCCAGTTTAACCTCTGGAATCATCCTCACAGATATGTCCAGTCACTTCTTGTCAAGTAAGGCTTGGGTGTTTTTTAGAGACTTGCTGATTTTCTGTTCACTCTAACTCTTTTCCTCTCTTAAGGAAATGCAAGTTCATCCAACATTATAAGTTCTGCAGCTGGTGTTGAAGATCTTAGGATTGTACAGGTGACAGTTCCAGGTAGAGACACCCATTGTCATCTTCTTTTGTTTCACATTTTTCTTTTTGTAAAGATTGTTTTCCCGTATTTATGTGTATGTGTGTCTGCTATGTGAGTGCAGTGCTTGTGGAGGCCAGAAGAGGGCACTAGGTCCCTTGAAGCAGTACTGGAACTCACTCTGTAGACCAGGCTGGCCTCAAACTCAGAGAGCCACCTGCTTCTGCCTCCAGAGTGCTTCGATTAAAAGCATGCGCTGAGTTTTGCCTGTGTGTGTGTATGTGCACCATGTGCCTAGTGCCCATGGAGTTCAGATGGTAAGAGCTACCATTTGTGTACTGGGAAAGGAACCAGGTCTTCTGCAAAAGCAACAAGTGCTCTTAGCTGCTGGGCCATCTCTCCAGCCCTTCCTTCTTTTCCTGCTCCTGTTCCTCTTGTTCCTCCTCCTCCACCGCCTCCTCTTCTTCTTTTGTTGTTGTTGAGTCAGAGGTTCTCTATGTTAAGAGCTCTGGCTGTCCTGGACTAGCTTTGTAAACCAGGCTGGCCTCGAACCCACAGAGATCCACCTGTCTCTGCCTCCATGGCTGGGATTAAAGGTGGGTGCCACCATACCCAGCTCTCACTCTTTATAAAAATTGTTTATTTAATTGAGGCAGGGGTTTACTATGTATCCCTGGTTGTCCTGGAACTTACTAGGTAGACTGGCTGGCCTCTGACTATAGAGATCTTTTTGCCTCTGCCTTCTGAGTGCTAAGAGGTATGCACCACCACACCAAACTTTAAAAACTGTTTTTAATAATCACCACACATATCTTTAATTCCAGCATTTGAGAGGCAGAGGCAGGCAGATCTCACCCTGATCTGCAGAGCAAGTTCCAGGACAGCCAGGAAGGGATACACAATGAAACCCTATCTTGAAAAAGACAAAAACACAAAACAAAATTTTAGTAAAAAAAAAAAAAAAATTAAAATTTTAAGTATTGAACAATATTCCCTTCTAGTCCTGGCATCGCTTTTCCTTAATTTCTTGCCATATTGGATGGGCTAAGGTTTGCATTACAGTGTTGAAGGCAGCAGTGCAGAGAGGCACCCTGTCTTATCAGCATTGAAGATGTTCCTCAGAAGTGGCATGGGCAAGGGGCGGAGGCGGCTCCTGGCTGCAGAGGATGGCTGCTGTTGTAGAGGGCCCAGGTTCTGTTCCTGTCCCACGGCTGCTCTCAACCACGTGCTCCGGGGACTCTCGTGTCCTCATCTGACCTCCGTGGGCGCTTGCAGGCATGGGGTACACACATAAATACAAATACAAAATTGAAAGTAATATGGGCTATGTTGCTATGGGGCTGTCATTTGGAAAATCGCTGTCCATAATGGTCTCCATTTTGTGAATTTCCCAAGTGCTTAGTTGTTGCGGTCAGGTAACTAAGTCATAAGACAGTGTCAGCAGGCATTTCTGCTAGTGTCTGTCTCGGAGAAAAAGAAATGTATGAATGAGACTGGTTTCCTTTATCCAATTCTTTTTAGAGAATGAGGAGAGACTGTCAGGCATTGAGAAAATCAAACAGCTTCGAGAACAAGTGAATGACCTCTTCAGTCGAAAATTTGGTATGTTTCTGTATCCAAAATGTATTTGTTAAATTGTGTGTGTTTGGGGGCTATGTGCACGTGAGTACACATGTGTGTACTGGAGCTGGAGTTACAGGTAGTTGTGAGCTGCCCAACATGGGTACATGGGTGATGGGAATCAAACTCAGTCCTAGGAAGAACAGCAAGTGCTCTTAACTGCCAAGCCATCTCTCCCGTTCCACACCTCCAAAATGTGTAACCTTTCCCTCCTCCACCCCTTTGCGAAGTACTGAACAGTACTTTAGTCCTGTTATACTCTCTAGCCAAAATACTCTTTATTTATTTATTGTTGAGACAGGATGTACAGCCCAGGCCAGTCTTGAATTCAGTCAAGATATTCTTGCACCAGCCTTGAAAGTGCTGGGTCACAGGCCGCTGCCATGACAGGAAGTTCAGGAGGCTCCATAAAGTGGGCGGTCCTTCAACTTTTGTTCCTCCTGTTTTAGCCTCCTGAGTAGTTGGGCTTCTCGGCCTGTGTCACCAGGCCCAGCTCAGGTACTGCTGGGTTTGGAGACAGCGTGTCACTTTGTTGCTCTAGCTGACTTCAAACACTTAGACTCCAGTGATCCTATGACTTGGCTCCTCAACAGGTGTGTGCCTCCGGGTCCAGCTCAAATCTTGACATTAAAGATAAAGCATGACAGGCTGGCATGTAATCCAAGCACTTAGGAGGCAGAGGCAGGAGGATTCCTTTGCATTCAGATCCAGCCTGGGCTACCCTAGACCCTGACTTAAAACAAAAACAAAAAAAAGCAGAGTTTTGGAAAAGTAAGACACAAAGTCACCCCATTTCCACCTCCTCTCTCACCACAGGGGAGGCGATCGGGGTGGACTTCCCCGTGAAGGTACCCTACAGGAAAATCACCTTCAACCCCGGCTGCGTGGTGATTGATGGCATGCCCCCGGGGGTGGTGTTCAAAGCCCCCGGGTACCTGGAGATCAGCTCCATGAGGAGGATCCTGGATGCTGCAGACTTCATCAAGTTCACCATCATTAGGTGAGGGCGTCTCTCTCCACACCAGAGCATGCTGGAGATGGGCAGCTGCCTAGTGGGCGGCAGCTCAGGAGCTGGGCCAGGAGACCAGCAGGGGAGGGGGAGGAGCCACACTTCATTTCAGATCAAGATGCTCAAGGCATTCACTCACTTCTGCTCCCACAGCTGTGTCTCTAGCCCTGTCCCTTCTATTATTTCTTACTGTAATCACTTACAAGGGGCTTGTCATGGCACAAGTGTGAGGCCAACTTGTGGAAGTTCTTTCTTTCGACCACGTGGTCCCCAGAGACTGAACCGGGGGCTCAGGGTTGGCGGCGAGCACCCTTACCTCGTCTGGCTGACTGTCGTGGGCTATGACCTTCAGCCTCACCTCCGACTCTGCCTAGCATTGTGCTGACACCACCAAAAGTGTGGAGACACAGCTGGCTGGGCAGAATGGAAACAAGCTCCCCCTCTTTCTTCTGTGTCTCCCCACAGACCACTTCCTGGACTTGAACTTAGCAACGGTGAGTACTCTTCGGAGAAAGAACATTCCAGGACACAGTGGTTCGTGGCATGCCACAGTGGGCACTTACAGGGTCCTTACATCTGATCTGCGCTGAGCCTTCCAGCGAAGCACGTGGCTTTTCAGATGTGCTGGGTTTGTTGTTGTTGTTTTTGTTTTTTTGTCTCCTGTGTTTTGTCACAGGGTCGGGGATGGTACCCAAGGTCTCACACACACGAGGCAAGCACTCTACCTCTGACCTATACCCGAAGCCCTGCTTTACATTTCATTGTAGCTCCCTTTTGTTTGGTTGGGTTTTTTATTGTTTGAAATGGGGCCTCAATATGTATTTCTGGTTGGCCTGGCAACTCTCAAAAGATCCACCTGCCTCAGCCTCCTGTTTGCTGGGATTACAGGTGGGCACCACCGTCCCCCGCTGTCCGGTCTTCGCAGGGTCTCAGTCCTGCAGTCCCAGACTGGCCTGGAAACCTATTCTGTAGTCCAGGCTGCCTTCAGCCTCACAGTCCTCCTGCGTCCACCTCCCCAGTGCCAGGTGACACACCTATGACAGCGCTCCTGGGTTTATGTGGCGTTAGAGATCAAAGCCAGTGGGGCCACATGCATAGTAGGCAAGCACTCTGTCTCATCCCCAGCTCCATTTTGTTTGTTTGATTTCTCTCTGTAGCCCTGGCTGTCCTGGACTCACTTTGTAGACCAGGCTGTCCTTGAACTCACAGAGATCTGCCTGCCTCTGTCTCCCGAGTGCTGGGATGACAGGTGTGCACCACAGGGCCCAGCTCCAACTACATTTTCTTATTATAAATTTTCATATTTGTGCTCTCGGGAACTGTCCCACTCACCAACACATGGGCCAGGAGTGCTGGCTCCGGTAGATACTCCTAGCACTAGGGAGGCTGATCCAGGAAAATTGCATGAGTTCTAGGCTAGCATGGTCTACAGAGTAAGACTGTGTCTCAAAAGAGCTAAAACAAACGCAAACTGCACGAGTAGTCACACTGCTCGTGAGTTAGGTGGGGTGTGGTGTACCCTGGGTCTTTTAGACCGGCAGGGAAGTCCTGTATCTCGTGCGCTTGGTCCCTTCTTTAATATCTCAAGCCTCTTTTGGGAGTTAGGCAAGGTGGCACACACCTGGGATCCCAACACTGAGGAGACTGAGCAAGATTCCCACCAGGAGTTCAAAGCCAGCCTGAGCTACAGAGTGGGCAGTCTCAAAAAAGCCAGAGAAAGAGCTAGGCTTGGTGGCGAACACCTTTAGTCCCAGCACTCAGGAGGCAGAGGCAGGCGGATCTGTGAGTTTGAGTCCGCCTGGTCCACAGAGTGAGTTCCAGGACGGCAGAGCTAAAAGCCAGAGAGAAAGCTGGGTATGGTGGCACACACCAGTAATCCCACACTTAGGAGGGGGAGGCAAGGGTCAAAAGTTGACTAGCGCTGGGTTATCAGGAGACCCTCTCAAAAATAAAATATAAAAACATACATACGATAGAAGATAACAGGACAAGAGACAGGGAGTTGAAAACCACCATTCCATGTCTCTATAAAGTGGGAAAACGGAAGATAGACCAGGAGGGCCGCGTGTTTCAGGAAAAGTGGGAGCGCGCCTATTTCTTCGTGGAGGTGCAGAACGTCCCCACGTGTTTGGTCTGCAAGCAGAGCGTGTCGGTGTCCAAGGAGTACAACCTGCGCCGGCACTACCAGACCAACCACAGCCGGCACTATGACCAGTACGAGGGGCAGGCCCGGGACGAGAAGCTCCGAGAGCTCAAAGGGGCGCTGCGGAAGTACCTCCTGGGGGCGTCGGAGGCCGTGTGCCCCGAGCAAGCGTTCGCCAACGCAGGTCCACCCGCCAGCACCGCGGCGCGGCCGGTGGAAGAGGTGGCCGGGAGCCTGTGGGAGAAGTTACGGCAGAAAATCCGGTCATTTGTGGCCTACTCCCTCGCCATCGATGAGATCACGGATATCCACGACACCCCGCAGCTGGCCATCTTCATCCGCGGCGTGGACGACAGCTTCGACGTGGCCGAGGAGCTTCTGGACACTGTGCCCACGACAGGCGCCAAATCCGGGAACGAGTTATTCCTGCGCGTAGAGAAGAGTCTCGGCAAGTTCAGTATCGACTGGTCCAAGCTGGTGAGCGTGGCCTCCACGGGCACACCGGCCATGGTGGACGCCAGCAGCGGGCTGGTGACGAAGCTCCGGGCCCGGGCCTCGTGCTGCAAGGGAGCCGACCTCAAGTCCCTGCGCTGCATTATCCACCCCGAATGGCTGTGCGCCCACAAGTTAAGGATGGGCCACGTCATGGACGTGGTGGTGGACTCCGTGAACTGGATCTGCTCGCGTGGCCTGAACCACGGCGACTTCACGACCCTGCTGTACGAGCTGGACAGCCAGTACGGCAGCCTGCTGTACCACACCGCGCTTAAGTGGCTGGGCCGGGGCTTGGTCCTCAGGAGGTTCTTCGAATCCCTGGAGGAAATAGACTCGTTCATGTCTTCCCGGGGCAAACCTGTGCCCCAGCTCAGCTCCAGGGACTGGATCCTGGACTTGGCCTTCCTAGTGGACATGACGACTCACCTCAACGCGCTGGATGCCTCCCTCCAAGGCCATTCGCAGATAGTGACCCAGATGTATGACTTCATCCGGGCCTTCCTAGCGAAACTGTGCCTCTGGGAGACGCACCTGGCCAGAAACAACCTAGCCCACTTCCCCACGCTGAAATCCGTCTCCCGCAGCGAGAGCGACGGCCTCAACTACATCCCCAAGATCGCGGAACTCAAGGCCGAGTTCCAGAAGCGCCTGGCAGATTTCAAGGCGTGTGAGGGCGAGCTCACCCTGTTCAGCTCCCCGTTTTCCACCAAGATTGACAGCGTGCGCGAGGAGCTCCAGATGGAGGTGATCGACCTGCAGTGCAACACGGCGCTGAGGGCCAAGTACGACGAGGTGGGCGTCCCCGGCTTCTACAGGCACCTCTGGAGCAGCTACCCCAAGTACAGGGGCCACTGTGCCCGGATGCTGTCCATGTTCAGCAGCACCCACGTCTGTGAGCAGCTCTTCTCCATCATGAAGCTGAGCAAGAAGGAGGCGCAGTGGGGTCCGTCACTCCCCATAGCCACGTGAGGGGGCAGGGGGCGGGGCCCGTTATCGCTGGGCCGGGGAGCCCAGGCGGGACGATCAGAGTTTTGAGTTCAAGGTCAGCCTGAGCTAAGTATCAAGACCCCACTTAAATAAAGCGAAACTGCTGGAAGAGAAACAGAAGGGAAATCTGGCCACCCCCGTCTACCTCCATTGTGTGGAGACTTAGAATGTTCCGGACCTTATAGGCTGTGCGATGGAGCCAACTGTTAAACCCCTGTTTAATAAAATAAAAGTTCCCCTTTCCCCCACTTGGAATCAGAATCCTAATTTATATATCACACCTGTTGATATGCCTTTTGACATCTGTCTGTAGTTGAGTCATACCATAACTATTGTAATTCAGTTGGCTCCTCTTGTGCTTGACTGACTTTTTAAAGATTTATTTATTATTTACACAGTATCCTGCCTGCACACCGGAAGAGGGCACCAGATCTCACAATAGATGGTTGGGAGCCACCATGTGGTTGCTGGGAATTGAACTCAGGACCTTTAGTTAAAGCAGCCAGCGCTCTTCACCTCTGAGTCATCTCTCCAGTCCATGCTTAACTGGCTTATGTCGTTCATCTACATTGTGCACTTTCAATAAACCACTGTGAAAGAGTGTGTGGTTGGCTGGGGGAGCTGGCACATGTCTGTGAGCCCAGCACTCAGGGAGGCAGAGGCAGGCAGATCTCTGTGAGTTTGAGGCCAGCCTGATCTACAAAGCAAGTCCAGGACAGCCAGGGCTATACAGGGAAACCCTGTCACCAAAAAAAAAAAAAAAAAAAAAAAAACAAGGGAAAAAAAGGAAAAACAAAAAAAAAAAAAAAAAAAAAAAAAAAAAGAACCTTGGAGAAAGAAAGAAAAAGAGAAAGGAAGGAAGGGAGAAAGAGAGACAGAAAGAAAGAAAGAAGAAAGAACATGTACAAACGACCATGTGCCCATAAGCCAAAGTTGGTGCAGTCCCAACTGGTCTCTGCCCCCTTCCTGATGGATTTACCCTAAATAAATTGCCTGTATTTCCTGGGCTGTGGATTCCTTGTCTCTGGCTCTCAAGCCCAGAGACACTGGAGACCGTGTGTGCACTCAGGGAGACCGACGGTCAGCAGACAGTGACACCCTGACTAGCTGGCAGCCAAGGCCCTTGCTCCATCTAAGGCTTCCCTGCACAGACCTTTGGCGGCTTCCCTGACCAGCACAGGGCAGGAGCACTGGGGTTGTTACAAGATCAGAAATACAGAAAAACAAATGTCGGGGGAGGGGCTACCAGGATGGCATTCCAGCACTCAAGGGTGGAGAGAGAGTGATCAGGAGCTCAGTTATCCCACCACCTAGGGAGTTTCTGGCTAACCTGACCTACAGCAATCCTGAATCCACACACCACACACACACACACACACACACACAACACACCTGTGCAAAAAAGGGGGCAACATTTAATCGGGACTTCAGTTTAGGAAAAATAAACAACAATAAAATTAAAATGCTGTACACTTGTAATCCTAGCATTCAGAAGCCTGAGACAGGAGGATCAAGGACATCCTCGGATACATAGTGAGGCCAATTTTCCAAGAAGAAGAGGAAAGTGGAGAAAGTGTTTCCTCTCCGGAGCAGCTGGGAAAACAGGCCTGCAACACCAGGCCTGTTACAAGAATTGTCTTTTGCAAGATGTGTGGCTTCATTTTGCACCCTGGTTTCTGACTTTGTTAGGGTTTCTATTTCTGAGACAAAACACCATGACCAAAAGAAAGTCAGGGGGAAAGGGCTTGTTCAGCTTACACTTCCATATTAGTGTTCATCACCGAATAAAAATCAGGACAGGAAGTGACACAGGGCAGGAGCTGATGTGGAGACCATGCAGGGGTGCTGCTCACTGGCTTGTTCTCATGGTTCGCTCAGCCTGCTTTCTCATAGAGCCCAGGACCACCAGCCCAAGATGGTCCCACTCAAATGGACTAGGCCCTCCCCGATCAACCACTAAGAAAATGACTTACAGCTGGGTCTTACGGAGGCATTTTCTCTCTTTTTAAAATTTTTTTAATGTGTATTTATTATTTTATGTTCATTGATGTTTTGCATTATATGTTTTACATTATATATATATAATGTAAAATTCCAGTTTTAGGGGATCTGACACCCTGCCATGTGGGTGCTGGAAATTGAACCCAGGTCCTCTGGAAAAGCAGCCAGTGCTTTTAACCACTGAGTCATCTCTCCAGCCTCATGGAGGCATTTTCTCAATTGAGGTTCCCTCCCTTCAGATAACTCTAGCTTCTGTCAAGTTGACATAAACCAACCAGCACAGTTTCTTTCTTTGCATTTGGGAATGGAGTTACCAGCAAGGTCTTAGGGACATGAAGGTGGCAGGCACTGCCCACTAATGACAGCTGCTTTTCATCACAACCCACCACGTTCCCCTATACCAAGATTATGCTTTGGGGTGGGGTGGTTTAAAACAGGGTCTCACACTGTAGTCAAATGTGATCTCAAACTCACCACATGGTCCAGGCCAACCTTGAACCTAACAGCAGCTTTCTTAGCTCTTGCTCTGAAATCACAGACATGCGCCTCTGTCTCCCAGAGGCTGAAGCACCAGCACATCCACTTATCGGATGTTGGGGATGGAAGCCAGGCCCTCCTGCATGCTAGTCAAATACTGTCAACCGGGCAGTATTGAGCCCCTAGGACAGTGCTTCTCAACCTTCCTAATGCTGCGACCCTTTTAAGATTTATTTATTATGTATACAGTGTTCTGTCTGCATGTACGCCTGCTTGCCAGCAGAGGGCACCAGATCTCATTATAGATGGTTGGGCGCCACCATGTGGGTGCTAGGAATTGAACTCAGGACCTGTGGAAGGGCAGCCAGTGCTCTTGGCCCCTGAGCCATCTCTGCAGCCCCTTAATACAGTTAGTTCCTCTTGTCGTGGTGCTCCCCAACCATAAATTTTTTTAACTGCTACTTCATAACTAATTTTGCTATGGTTATGAATCTTAATGTTAAATACCTGTGGCTTCCAATGGTCTTAGGAGACCCCCGGGGCACGAATCACAGGTTGAGAACCGCTGCCCTAGGACGTTCCTATCGTCTTTGGTGGAAACTGCGGCAACGTGCCGTCAGACCTTTTTTCCTGTCCTTGCAAACTCCTCTAGCAGAGCTCACTGCCTTTCATCCTCTCGGTATCCCTGGGGAGGAACCCAGCCCTGTCCTTTGCTGCAGAGTCACAGTCCATCCCAGCAACATTTATTAAGGCAAGGGAGAGCCTCTGAGCGCAGGCTATATACAGGTATATACAGGGATTTGGATGGGACGCTCTCTGTGGCCCAGGCCCTCCTTACACGGCGGACGCCAGCTTCCGCTTGGTGCTCTCCGTGCAGCGGTGCAGGATGAGGTCCGCGCTGGGTCTCGGGGGCACGGCGGGCTGCGGCTTGGCGCGCTGAGGCGACCGACCGTCTGCAGGGAAAGCCAGGACCATCAGAGGCCTCGCCTCCCAGCCCTTCCCGGCGCGACCTCCAGTCCGGAACCCGCCCCTAGGTCTCGCCCCTCGCTCGGCCCTCCAGCCCCGGCCCCGCCCCCTTCCGAGGCTCACTGTCCGCGCTCTCCGCGCTCTGCGGCCCGGGTCGCGCAGGACGTCGCCGCTGCTGCAGGAACCGGACGCTGTTGCGGCGGTAGGTGTCCTGGCTGAGGCGCTTCCGAGAACGCTGGTGGATGCTCTGCGCGTTGCGGATGGTCGACCTGGCCCAGCAGGATGCGGACGTCAGCGCCCCAGAGTCCCTGCCCCCAAGACCCTAAGCCTGGCTAGAGAAAGTAGGGTGCGGAGAGACTGGGGCACCCTAAGATCCTAGGCCTGACCTCTGGCTGCAGAGGGACTGGCACCCCTCAGGTCCTAAGCCTGTATTTAGCAAGTGCAGTGCAAGCAGGGGAGCATGCAGGAGCTGCGAGGGTCACGGAGGCTACCCTGTCCCAGAGCCCAGCCCTGTTTCCCACACACGCCCTGACCATCAAAGTGCTCCTTTCTCGGGGACCATCCCAAAGGACTCTAAGCATCTGCGCACTTCTCACTAGCTCTGGCCCTGATTGCCTTCCCTCCTGTCCCTGTGTCAGCCACACCCAGCAACAGCGAAGGCAAAGCGCTAAAGCTCATGGGAACCTACCCTGCCAGGAACCTGTCTCCCTCCCCGGAGTCTCCCTCAGGCCAGCCCCCTCTCACCTGCGCGGTGGCGCCCCTCGGCCTCTAATCTGCCGCTGGGCCTGGGTTATCTCCTCCCCAGCCTTCTGCAGATACATGGATGGGAAGTAACCGGTGGCATCCCCTTTCCTGCAAGATGGGCCACACGGGAGGCTCAGGCAGTCACCGGGGGTGTGCGCACAGCTGGGCCTTCAGAGCGCCGCAGCCACGGGCACCAGTGCAGGCCACGAGAGTTCAAACACCCAAAATTTTCCACACCCAAAAGGCCAGCCTGTTTCTTCTTGTGTCAGCACAAGCCCACTAGGCTCCCAGCCCTCCTTTTCAAGTCCCGCAGGCGGAAGAAGCTGTGTGTGTGTATCTTGCCAGCGTGTACTATGACACCTTTAAGAGTCCTGAGTGTTGCTGGGTGGTGGCTCACACCTGTAATACCAGCACTCAGGAGGCAGAGGCAGGAGGATCTCTGTGAGTTTGAGGCCAGCCTGGTCTACAGGGTGAGTTCCAGGACAGCCAAAGCTGCACAGAGAAACCCTGTCTCAAAAAAACAACTTGCTTCTCGCTTGCTTTGTCTGTCTGATTTCTGAAGGTCCTGGAGAGGAAACTCAGTGGCTGAAGAGGAAAGAAGACTGCAGAATCACAGAGCCCTAGTGAGGGCCCCATGCCCGCCCACACAGAGCCATGCAGGGGAGGGGCTTTCCTACCTGACCACCCACCAGCCGTCCAGGAGCTTATGAATGACCTCGATGGCTTCACCCTCAGACAGGGACACCTCATCCTCTTCCACAGCCGTGTAGGCTTTGATGGTTATGTAGGGCTCACCTGGTCCACAGAGGGAGCACACGGTGAGGGGAGTCTACTCAGATCCCAGCACTCTGTTTCCTTCCCCCTGAATGCCAGGCTACCTCCATGTGTCCAGCCACCGCCACACACACACACACACACACACACACACACACACACACACACACATGACCCTCCTCAGTCCCTCAGATATATTCCTTCTTGGTTTCCCTCTCTAGGTGTTTAAAAGACTTTATTTTATATAGTGTAAGGATGGGACCAAGGGCTGACAATAGGCAATGGAAGAGCTCTACTATGGAACTTTGCCCCAGCCCCTCACTGGGGGATTCTAGGCAGGTGCTCTATCACTGAGCCACACCCCCAGCCCCTCACTGGGGGATTCTAGGCAGGGG